GCGCTTCAATTTCGATTGCTGGCAAATAGTTATGTATTTGCAAGCATGCAGCTATTTGCCAGCAGTTGCAATTGGAGCGCATGTACTACGGGCAGGTTCGGACAACTCGTCCAACACACGTCTCCCTAAACGGCAGGGGGAGTCCCTGTCTAAGCCCCTGCCCGACGTTTTTTCTACTTTTTCTTTCTCCATTGACCAACTTCTCACCTGCAACTTCATTATAGGTGCTCCTTACCCGCAAATTCGTTCCTGGACTTGTTGCTTTAAGCCAGTGCGCCCGCAAAATCGCTACTGTCCGGCTAAAAATCCTAAAAGCGCGGTCCTATATCGTAATATCGCAATCTACTACTCTCCAGCGATTTCAATCGATACGTATCTAATCTTGTCAGCGCAATCTCCTACTCTACTACTATCCTAATCTCCCCGTCAATACATATGTTTTTCATTGTCGCGTACTATCCTAATCTCCGGAGTCGCGAACTATGAACGCGGCCTTATGGTTAGAGTGCGGTAGGAAAACGTTCAATGTAAGTATATTACAGACATTTCCAAAGTAAATAACCTCCCGTTAACTAGAAGGCACAGCGTCTTCCATGATAGGTAGGTTTTTCCACGTAGATTACTGCCCCTATTGATACGATAAGGTCCAATATAGGGAGGAAGCGACCTTTGAGAATCCGCGAAAAATTCCACACAGTCAGCGTGCAATGTCATTTTTATGCGGTGTCAATAGCCATTGAACAGTCCCAGCAAGGCTCTTATCTTCGACACTAATGTTGCTGAACGATGCGCTAGTAGTCAAGAACATAACAAGTGTGACTGAACAAAAAACTCTCACCTTGGAAAGCCGCGAAAGGAGTTGAACGCCTTCGAAGTGGGCGTGTCGGCCACCGATCGTAAGCCCCTCTGCCAGCCGTGGAGATCGCGTGATTGGCTGCGGAGGCATTTGCGTGGATCGTGGATCGAGTTCAAATAGTCCCTGTGGTCCCAAATCGGTCGCAAATGCCTTCGCAGCCAATCACGCGATCTCCACGGCTGGCATGAGGGACTTATGATCGGTGGCCGACACGCTCACTTCGAGGGCATTACTCCCTTTCATGGCTGCGTGGATTGTAGACCGATTGCAAATGGTCCTTGCGGTCCAAAATCGGTCGCAAATGCCTCATCAGCCAATCACGCGATCTCCACGGCTGGCATGAGGGGCTTACGATCGGTGGCCGACACGCCCACTTCGAAGGCGTTCAACTCCCTTTCGCGGCTTTCCAAGGTGAGTTTTTTGTTCAGTCACACTTCTTATGTTCTTGACTAGGGCTAGCGCATCGTTCCACACCATTAGTGTCGAAGGTAAAAACCCTGCTGGGACTGTTGCTTTAACTTATGTGTTGTAGATTCTAGGCAAAGAAACCAAATTCGCCCACTCGGAATGATGGAAGTACCAGAGACAAGAAAAAACTTGGAATTACTGGAAATCCTACTGTATTTGCACGCACTGCGCTCTTTAATTCTGAAGCAATTTTTCAAGCCTAGAAAGACTTTTCGTTAAAGTCTCACATTTGCAAATCTTATGAATAAAATGGTAATTCAAACAATGTAATGACTCACCTCCTATATACAGAACTCCTGACGAAAACTCAGCTGAGTAACCCATGTTGATCAGCAGTTGCTTCATTTCGGAAAGTTTGGGATCATTCACGTAGACCACCTGGAAAAATCTAGCCGTGCGACATAGGAAAAATAACAACATTACCATACTCCTTCTGAAAAAAAAGTAAAAAATAAACGAAATTCTCGACACTCACATCACGGAACGGCGCATCGCCACTTAAGGCACTCAACATACACTTGTCAATATGTTGATCGGTCTCCAACGGCTGTACATCTGACTAAACACGAGAAACTTTGTATTGCTTCTATTTAAGATTACATTAAACAACGAAAATACAAAAAAATCGATGCCAGTATGATCGGCAAAAGAAGCAAACAACGAAATTGCTTTCACGGTCGGTAAAAGATAATTACATGAGTTACTTACGTCGAAACCGTTTTCTCTCTCTACTCCTATCTCCGACGGTCTGGAAGTTATTTGAGCATCAATCCAGGCCAAATCTGCGTCCTTCACCTGAATCAGAAAATAATCTTGATAAATTTTTCTTTTTTTATGTCGAAAAAAATTAAGGAAATTCAAGGGAGCGGACCAAGCGAACAATAGGTAAGAAAATCACTGCGACCCCATTTCTGAGGTGATAAAAATTATTGAGGTACCTTAATAAATTCTAAGCTTTCGAACAGCTCGTCGCTCAACAATATTCGATAGATATGAGAGGCTACGGTGGCATCAACAACCTCACCAACCGAAGGCGCGAAGATGTGACCCTGCAAGTTAATCAGAATTCAAGCAAAAAAGCGGAAAACCGTAGCTACATAAAAAAATGAAGTGATCGGCAGAGAGCACGCATTCACCATTCTCTTTTATATCCATGGGCTACAAATCTTGCATTCAGAAAGACAACGGCACTCAAATTATTGTTGAGCTAACACAGTGAGTAGCTAAGGCCAACAGCTGCTCAAGTGAAGGTTTTCCAGACCAAGCAAGTGTGATCTGTCGTTACGGGTACCTGCGCAACCTTCCTTCTGGCAAAGTTGCTACCTAGATTTTTTGAGTGCACATGAACTCAGTGTAGGGTGGCGATGGGGTATGGCTTGATCATCGATGCATTCAAAACAAAAAAACACGGGTTCGATCCACACTCATAAAGAAACCACACTAAAAAAAATGAAGTCGACAATTGCGTCATGCTAGAGAATGTTCCACAACGACAAATTGTTAATGTGCGATCACAAGGACACGGCTTTTCTCCGCTAAGAGTGCCTGCGGTTCAAGGCGGAAAGGGTCATTTTGGCATACTTTCAACCAAAATAACTTGACATGGTTGCTAAGTGTATAATATACAGCCACTTCCTTACATGTTCGACACAACTTACATGTTGTTAAACATGGGTTTACTGACGACCTGAACTTTCAGGTGGAACAGAGCTAACCTTACCTTACCATAAGGGCCAGGGAAACGCATGAACTACGCAAAATATTTGAAATTCACCTGCGCAATATTGTTATCGTAGCAGTATTGAGCAAGATGCCGTGTTGCTTGCGCCGAACCGTGGACAATAATCAGCTGCTTTGGCTTCATCTGAGCGATGAGCTTCTTCGTTGACTCACCATCCGATCGGCCTTCAAACTCAATGTACTCCACATTACAGCTGACCTGTGATGAAAGAAATCATTAGAGTAGCGAAAATTCATCATTTAGAAGCCTAATCACATAAGCATCACTCCATTTTTGTTGCTTAAATGAATGCAAAACACTCCTAGCCAAGTAGTTACTAAAAAGATGCCACTTCTGAGCCGCTGGCTGCTCTGATCGGACTCACTCAGTCTATAAAGTCACCTACCTCAATCTTTTCTATGACCGTGATACACTTTGTGGGCGCATCATCCGCTATCGGCACCACCATATTTGCTGTTGGATCATCTGCTTCTTTGATGATCTCTTGTGGAACAGGTAGATGAACTCGTAGTTTTGACACTGTGTAATCTTCAGGTCTATACTTTTCACCATAGACGTCCCACTGGAAAACATTCCAAGCATGAAGACCAAAATGATCCGAACAGGTGGAGGATCCACTAGTACCTTAACTTTCTCCTCCAGAACGGGATACATCGGTAGCAGAATTGGCATAAACCTTTTGAAGAATGGCATCCTGAAATGAATTTTGCATAACAGCAAGAAAGTGCTCAGAACGCTCGTAACCAAGCGTCATCAAGGGAAACAGGTATGAAGGGAAGTGGAAGAGATTGTGATGGGAAACAGATAACGGGAAAAAGAAGTCCTAAGAAGGTTAAAACTTACCTGTATCGCATCATAGCCTGCATGGTGATGTTATGCCTGACCGGACGCCTCTTCCTCGTGGGAAAAGCAGGACCAGATGGTACAAAGGCTGGTGCGTCGCTAAGATGTTCCGGTGCTCTAGCCCTCGCCACAGTCAAACCAGGGATTGCTAAAGGAAAAAAGAATTAGAGAATACAAACGAAATTATGACTCCATCCCTACCAAAAGAGTCGTCTTCTGGTTCGACTTCAGACATGGCCTCTTTCATCGGCGCCGGATCAACGATCATTGGAGTGGAAGTGATGGCCGGCGATGGACCTCCATTTTCCCGAGCAGCCGCAGCGGCTGCTTGCTGTTCTTCTTCACGTTTCTTCTTCGTGCACAACGCTTCAACAGCCACCAGCGCGCTGGCCATGATCTCATCGTCGTCATCCGAGTCAAAACCACGCAATTCTGCCTGACGCTTCTCTTGCTCTTCCAGCCTATATAGCCACACATAATAATCATTCCTTTCCTTTAATACATGAACAAAATCTTTCCCCACCTTCGTCGTGCTTCCTCCTTGTCTTTTTGCATTTTCTTCTTCTTGTACGCTTCCAGCTCTGCTCCTTCCAACCGTACTCTTTTCTTGACTTCCAGTGCAACAATTCGATTCGTCCTTGCATTCGTCGCCAAACACTCAGCCATGTAGATCAGTTTTGAGCAAAGGGTGCGTTCACTTGAGCGACCTAACAACGGAAAACTTTTTTAAGCTGAAGAGTAAAATAATGGCAGAGATGCAACAATATCTTTATTCGCACCTGTGATAATAAACGAATTTCTACTGTCACTGCACCAATCCAGAAAAAGTTCCCGAGAATAGCCACATTCCATATCAATGCCGCTGCAAAGGACAACCTAAAATCATAGTGATTATTTTCAAACAATGCCAACTTGGAATAAAATTTTGTACAGCACATCTGCTACTGTACAGGAGAGGGCGGACGAGAAAAATACGAAAGGATTTCCAAGAACGAAACCACACGGACGCACTTCACCCATTCTCCTTCTTGAACCCGGCCCGGCATTGATATGGAATGTGGCTATTCTCGGGAACTTTTTCTGGATTGGTGCAGTGACAGTAGAAATTCGTTTATTATCACAGGTGCGAATAAAGATATTGTTGCATCTCTGCCATTATTTTACTCTTCAGCTTAAAAAAGTTTTCTGT